AAAAATGAGCAGTCTCTTCTAATGTACAATGCCAACTTGTCTTCAGCTCAAAAACGGCGGTATTCAAACATACTTCAAGGTGGCTCTGTTAGTACAGAGGTTATGTTAGTAGGCACAATTCCACCTGTAAATTATCCAGTCAGTTTGGAGGTAAACCCACTGTGATTTCAATTAAAAGGTTTCGAACATAAATTTGATACATTTTACTTATTTACACACGTATAATTACACATTTAAAAAGAGTGCTTTTTTAAAACATTCCAGTGGAAGCGTTCCGCTTCAAATTTTAAAAGAAAGAGGTATCTATTCTATAGGTAGACTACCTCATATTTTAAAACACACTTAGGTTATCTCCTAAATGGAATCCCCAGAAGAGCACAGGAGTAAAGGTAAAACCTTAAGTCATGTGAATGCTATTTCCTGGTTATTGATTGAGAAAATCAGACACAATTATCTTGATTTTAAAATTCTTTCTTTAAGTTTAACTGAAAATACAATTCAACTTGTCTAGTAACATATTTTAGCCACCTATAGTTGCATTAATGTTTAACTTGTGTAACTTGATAATAAGCACCCCATTTGTTAATTTTCTAAGCACCAGGGCATGTTGCAATGAATACTGTACTCGCCTCTGTCACTGACATCAAGTGAACGTGTGTATAGTGATAATAAGCCCCCCATTTGTCAATTGTCTAAGTGCCGGGGCACATGTTACAGTGAATACAGTACTCTTCCTCTCCATCTCTGACATCAAGTTAACTTGTGTATAGTGATAATAAGCCCCCCATTTGTCAATTTTCTGAGCACCAAGGCACATTTTACAATGAATACAGTTCTTGCCTCTCTGACATCAAGTTTAACTTGTGTATGATGTCTGTCAGCACCCCATCAATTGTTTAGCACCAGGGCACATTTTACAATGAATACAGTTCTTGTCTCTCTGACATCAAGTTTAACTTGTGTATGATGTCTGTCAGCACCCCATCAATTGTTTAGCACCAGGGCACATTTACAATGAATACAGTTCTTGCCTTTCTGACATCAAGTTTAACTTGTGTATGATGTCTGTCAGCACCCCATCAATTGTTTAGCACCAGGGCACATTTTACAATGAATACAGTTCTTGCCTCTCTGACATCAAGTTTAACTTGTGTATGATGTCTGTCAGCACCCCATCAATTGTTTAGCACCAGGGCACATTTTACAATGAATACAGTTCTTGCCTCTCTGACATCAAATTTAACTTGTGTATGATGTCTGTCAGCACCCCATCAATTGTTTAGCACCAGGGCACATTTTACAATGAATACAGTTCTTGCCTCTCTGACATCAAGTTTAACTTGTGTATGATGTCTGTCAGCACCCCATCAATTGTTTATCTCCACGGCACATGTTTCAGTAATCTTCCCTACCTCTGCTGTCTGTCATCCTCACTGTTGAATATTGCTCGTTTTTGTCAGTTAGAAGGGGGCCAAGTGGCTTGGATGTGCAATACAAGTAAATAGTTCCTTACAAACTTCTTTATGATGTTGTACTTGATGTGACCTTTACTCCCTGGATGTGGGTCACCACTTTTGTAACAGGGAAACTCGTGAATAAAAATATCAGTTGGAACATTTTTCCAGTGACTTATATTATTTTGCTCAATAGGCTGTTAACAGTGTAAACCATGTCTCACTTTTAGCCACACAGTTCAACTACACTGAAAAGCTTTATTAGACTGGCTAAAATAAAAATGCCCTTGTAAGGCATATCTAAAAAATGCTTGGTTCCGGTTACCCAACCCTACCTACATTTTACTCCCTATTCTACCTCATTTTACTCCGATTTATTAAATAAGACAATCCCCAGACCCTGTCTTTATGTTTTTCATCATTTTGTTCAGTGCTGACAATATAATTTCAACATGTTTCATAAAATTCATTTTACCCTGTTTAAAGATTGGTTGTATATCTGACATCTTGGTGAAAAAATGTTTTTGTTGTCATCCATGCAACAAGAGACTTTAAGTTATAGATATGCCATGTAAAATATTTGAAAAAATAAAATAATTTTCCAACCTACCTTCCCCCTTTTATTTTTTGATTGTACTAGGAAGCAAACATATTTTTTTGATAGGCCCAATATTAAAACAATGGGGATATTTGTACTTGCCCACAGGAATTTGTACTGAAACCAGGCTAGCAGGCTAGTGTTAATTTCTAACCCTGCTGTTCTCAAAACACCGATCGACAAGCCATTAGGCCAGATGGTGTAGGTGAAGGTCATCATCTGTGTGCCGATGACGTGCAGCTTTTGGACTTGTTTTGCCCCTGTCAGCAGTCCCCACACAGTGCTGTACTGGAAGAAGGTCAGGCCCATAGAGGCTCATGAAGAGTAGAGAATAGACAATCTAAATAGTAGTCCCCACACAGCACTGTACTGGAAGAAGGTCAGGCCCATAGAGGCTCATGAAGAGTAGAGAATAGACAATCTAAATAGCAGTCCCCACACAGCGCTGTACTGGAAGAAGGTCAGGCCCATAGAGGCTCATGAAGAGTAGAGAATAGACAATCTAAATAGTAGTCCCCACACAGCACTGTACTGGAAGGTCAGGCCCATAGAGTCTCATGAAGAGTAGAGAATAGACCATCTAAATAGTAGTCCCCACACAGCACTGTACTGGAAGAAGGTCAGGCCCATAGAGGCTCATGAAGAGTAGAGAATAGACAATCTAAATAGTAGTCCCCACACAGCGCTGTACTGGAAGAAGGTCAGGCCCATAGAGGCTCATGAAGAGTAGAGAATAGACAATCTAAATAGCAGTCCCCACACAGCTATACTCGATCTAAATGAGAATAAAACAAAAGCCATGTTGATAGACACAACAAAGATGGCAGCCTGATGGTCGGATGAATCAGTTATCTGTTGTTCAGGAGCTGACCATGTCTTCCACTTCTGTGCCTTCCTCTGCCACTGGACCACAGTAACATTCTACTGCTGAGTGCTAACCAGGAGATCCTCCATTGGCCACAAAGAGTCCAAAATACTGCTGCCCGAAGCGTGACAACCAAGTCTATTCACATTACACCAGTACTTCAGTATCTTCATTGGCTCCCAGTTGAAGTTCTCTCACTCTGCCATAACAGTGCAACTGCTGAACAGCCCCTGACTTCCTCTGTCAACTTCAGAATGGGTACAAACACTCAAGACTTCGTTCCGACTCAAAGGTGGAAACTAAAAATACTATCCTTTCAAAACTCTGCTGCAGTGAAATGAAAAACTCTACCAGATGAAACCAAAACTGTGTGTCAAGATGAACCTAAATCACACCCGTTTCAAACATTCTACTGTCATTAGAAACTCCTTTTCATCTTGTGAAACACTATAATTAGTATACTGTGGAGTGTGGATGTTGTTTTGTTGTCATCAAATCATCTCACCATCACAGTTCTAATCATATCACCATCACAGTTCTAATCATATCACCATCACAGTTCTAATCATATCACCATTACAGTTCTAATCATCTCACCATCACAGTTCTAATCATATCACCATTACAGTTCTAATGATATCACAATCAGAATTCTAATCATCTGGCCATCAGAGCTCTAATCATCTGGCCATCAGAGCTCTAATCATTGATGTTCAAAGGATTTAGCTAACTCACTTTTGTTAAGATAATAAATTATATCATTCATTCAAACTGCTATGACCCAATACTATATTTTGGAGTTCTACTTCCACAGTCTTGGTGATTTCGTTTGCTGATTGGTTTGTATTGTTCAAAGTCAGGGGAACTCACATTATTACAGGACACATTTTTGGCCATGGGTCGACATTGCATTTTTTTCATTTTTGACCTTATTTGAAAATATAAAACTCCTGTAGCCTTAGTAGGTTGAAGTTTTCAAGATGATCTCATTATACCTCCATTTTCCATATTATGCCACCATTATGGAAAACAATATCCAGTTTATTAGTATTAATGTTCAAGCACCACTTTGTACAGAATTTCAACATTGCATCAAGTTTCTTTTGTAAACATTATCTGAAAACAAGCACAGACGATCAGTGGAAAATAATAGAAGCAATTACAAAAATCCGCGCCTCACAAATGTCATTTTTCTTCACGTTGGTTGATAAACAAGCTGGGGGGGTTTACACGGCACACGTATCCAGTATGCACAATTGTAGAGAATGGACGCAGAAAAACGAAATACTGTATCTCAAGGGACACACAATATTCATTGTACCTACAGCGCATCAAGGCCTAGTGGCTACGAGACCTCAGGGTTGGTTGAAGTGAGGGGTGGTTAGATGGTCATTCTGAATATGTACCGTATATGACCGCAGATAAGTCGACCCCGTAGATAAGCTGAGGTATTAAGAAAATGATATGACCCGTAGATAAGCCGAACCAGGAAGTGAAAGGCAAAAAACTGCAAGACTGCAAGACATGTGCTGGTACTCACAGATATTCAATTAGTTTACTGTTGCTAGGGGAGAGGACACGGGTGGCCCAGTCAGGTGAGGAGTCATAATTCACTGTGCAGAGTTGCGTCCCTTGAGCGTGTGAGAAACCTGTGATCATTGGTTCAAATCCAGGTTTGATGATGTTACCAGGTTTGTCGGCACCGTACCCATGCTCGTGGGTTTCACCAAAGTGGTAAACATGTGTGACCTGCATCACTTCAGGCTTTCCTCCCACATTAAGCTGACACACTGTGATATAACTGGAATACTGTTAAAAGTGGCGTTAAACCCAACTCACTCACTTGGTATTAGTTCGACCAACTGGTACAGAAGTTCAACTTCAAGACATATCTTATCAAAGCTCCTTTGGGTCATATGATTGCACATCAAGGGCACCATGAGCACATTCTTGTAAAGACAAAGAACTTTCATTTCTGATGGCATGTAAATTCTACAGGGACCATCACGGAGTTTATGGTTTGTATGAGTTTGAGAGTAAGACATATTAGATTATTGTTAAAAATCTTACATTTCAATTGTAGATCCGCCGCCAGTTCCTGCCAACCCTGATACAATCAGAATGATTGATGAGGAAGATGATGACTATCTCCCCCCTCGAGAAACACGATCACGCAGAGGGAAGCGGGGATCCAGAGGACGAGGAGGTCGCCAGTCTAAAAGAGCCCGAGTTGAAATTCCAGAACCGGAACCACCAAGTGAGCCGTCTCCCCCACCTCTGGCACCCTCCCTTCCTCCTCCAGATGCCAACATGCACCTCAAATACACGTACGGTGTCAACGCCTGGCGCCACTGGGTCGTCCACAAGAACACGCTGCTGGAGAAGGTGTCCAAGAGAGGTTCTGGTAAACTGAAGCTGTTCAAGACTGACCTGCTTCAGTGTACAGCGGATGAGCTCAACTATTCGCTGTGTTTGTTTGTCAAGGAAGTGAGAAAGCCAAACGGAGAGGAGTATTCTCCCGACAGTATTTACTACCTCTGTCTCGGTAAGTTCACAGGGGATTCTTACAGTCTGTGACTTTAGCCTCTAGTACGAAGCCTGAGTGTTAATGCTGTTCGGTCTAGTAAGCTCAGCTATAGTCCCTGACAGTCCAAATAATAACTCCAAATACTGAAAATGAAGCTGATTGTTAATGCTGTTTGGTCTAGTAAGATCAGCTATAGTCCCTGACAGTCCATATAATAACTCCAACTACTGAAAATGAAGCTGAGTGTTAATGCTGTTCGATCTAGTAAGATCAGCTATAGTCAATGACAGTCCATATAATAACTCCAAATACTGAAAATGATGCTGTTCGGTCTAGTAAGCTCAGCTATAGTCCCTGACAGTCCATATATTAACTCCAAATACTGATAATGATGCTGAGTGTTAATGCTGTTCGGTCTAGTAAGCTCAGCTTTAGTCCCTGACAGTCCATATAATAACTCCAAAAAATGAAGCTGATTGGTCTATTATGTACCAATAAAACTGTTTTGCTCCATATTTTATCAATTTGTACAATGTAGCTTCTGTTTCCATGGCAGGTATTCAGCAATACTTGTATGAGAACAGCCGTATTGACAACATCTTCACTGACCTGTACTATGAGAAGTTCACAGAATGTCTCAACGATGTGTTGGCTAAATATGAGCCTAAAGTAAACGCCACAGGTAAGTGTGATGAAACGAGAGTACTAGCAACATGATGACCTGTTGTTTTGTGTTTAGAAGCTTGTGGTGATTCCGGGTTAGAATCCGTAAGAGGTGACTAACGGGATCAGATGGTCGGGCTTGGTGACTTGGTTTATAGCATGTCATGGTATCCCAATTGTATGGATTGATGCTCATGATGTCAATCACTGGATTGTTTCATCCAGACTTGATTATGAACAATAAGTGAGTTAGTTGGCTTTTAATGCCTGCTTTGAACAGTAATCCATCTTTTAATGTGTTTTTGTATGACGCGGACGGGTCTCCAACCCCGGACCTACCACTCTCCGAGTGGATGCTCTACCACTAGACCACAGAGGCTGTCTAGAGAAGTTTGCACGTTAAAAAGAGATGTTTCCAATGTGTACCAATTAATGACAAAACTAACAACCAGTCAAGTGTTACCACAGTGACTTTATTGTTTATAACTTACTTGAAACTTGGAATTATTGAGGATCTGTCCCTTGTAAATAAATTATATTAAAGGCTTAGGACTTTATCATTCATATACTTGGGACATACAAGCCGTAATTCCCCGTAGCTTGTTGGTTATTCTTCAAATCTCTCGCAGGTCAGATGCTGTGTCGTATAGAGGAAGAGCACATCTGGGAGTGTAAACAGCTGGGAGCCCACTCCCCCTACGTTCTCCTCAACACCCTCATATACTTCAACACCAAACACTTCATGCTGAAGACAACTGACGAGCACATGAAGCTCTCATTCGCTCACATACTGAAGCACTGGAAGAAGGGCGGTCCAGGGTCGAAGGTTGTCACAGGTCAAGGTCGCAGTGTCTCTTTGCGGTACTACTGCCTTAACCCGGGAAGTAAGTGTGTGCAAACATGTCTTATTTTGTGTCTGGAAATAATATTCATGTTTTGAAGAACTTTTTTGACCAGCTTGCCATTAAGCAGCTCTTGTAAATCTCATTTCCAGAATACAGAAAAAAACACTATGAACTTCCTTTCCATATACCAGGTCTAATAAGACTGCAGGCCACTGTCAAATGGCTGTAAAAAGATAACATAAATCCATCTTTTTTACTCATATTTCTATTCTTGTTATAGATGGCCAGAGCACCCCAAACAAGAAGCCCAAGGAGGGCATACCTGTCTATGAGACGTCTGAGAACTTGGAGAACCCGCTAAGATGTCCAGTCAAACTCTATGAGTTTTACCTCTCCAAGTGGTAAGTATGATAAGACTATCATCAAAATTAAACGTTCTGAATTTGTGTGTAAACAGTAATGTGTGAGTTGTACCTGAGTTTTATAGATCTTGGTTTTTTTCCATTTTTATTTTTTTTGTTTGTTTGTTTTTACTCAAAATCTTTATGGCAAATAAATGTGGTAATCATATTTTTGTGAAAATACATTTTGTAAGATTTTTGTTTTGTAATAGGTGTGAAGTTCCCAAGCAGTCAGTATCAAAATATTATTGTTTTTTTCAGCTCCAGGTAACCAGTTCATTCACAGTCAAGGCACCCGTAATGATCATGCAATGACATGATAACGTTACAAAATGAAATAGGCTCAAGACGTAAACAAATGTTTCAATCTCATCAATTCTTAAATTTAACAGTAATATGGAAAAAGGTAAAATAATTAAATCCTGCTAACTGAACTATTTCAATCTGAATAATTAATTTGTGCTATTTTCAATTCTCTCTTCCCATTTCAGCCCGGAGAGTATTAAGAACAGGAATGACATGTTCTACCTTGTCCCTGAGCGGAGCTGTGTTCCGGACAGTCCTGTCTGGTACTCCACACAGTCCATCTCCACAGAGTCCATGAGCAAGATGCTCAATAGAATACTCCTTGTGAGAGAAATACAGGAGGCACATATACATGCCCAGCCCATATATGTCTAAACACCATTAGGATCGTCCTACACTCATATTCTCCATGAATAACCCACAGGAACTATACTCTGGGAACATCCTTCTGTAATATACTCTGGGAACATCATTAAGTAACAATCTCTGGACACATCCTTCAATAATATTCTCCAAGAACAATCCTGCTGAAAGTCCTTCAGTAATATTCTCCAGGAACATCATTCAATAATATTCTCCAGGAACTATACTCTTTGAACATCTGTGAACATCCTTCTGTAATATTCTCCAAGAACATCCTTCTGTAATATTCTCCAAGAACATCCTTCTGTAATATTCTCCAAGAACATCCTTCTGTAATATTCTCCAAGAACATCCTTTAGTAACATTCTCTGGAAACATCCTTCTGTAATATTCTCCAGGAACATTACTCTGTGAACATCCTTCAGTAATATTCTCCAGTAATATTCTCCAAGAACAATCCACTGGGAACATCCTTTAGTAATATTCTCCAGGAACAATCCACTGGGAACATCCTTTAGTGATATTCTCCAGGATCAATCCACTGGGAACATCCTTTAGTAATATTCTCCAGGAACAATCTACTGGGAACATCCTTAAGTAATATTCTCCAGGAACAATCCACTGGGAACATTCTACAGTACTATTTTCAAGGATCCTTCATGGCATCATTGGCTTTAATACCATCATCTTTCAAATAGTACCATAGTCCAGATCATTTAGTGAAATCTATTTTCATAAGGAATTGGTCGCTGTGAGTTTATTGTGATTAATTGTCCCGGACAAGAACTAGAGTTCCACGTGCATCTACACTTCAAGCCAAATTTTATCATCCCTGGTAAAAGGTGGTTAAACTGATCTTGCTTTGTGTGCCCGTCATGTTATGACTCCAAGCTTGCTTGACGATATATGTGAGCGACTACTGGTCACCTGCACATCTTTCACCTGGCGGGCTCTTTTGGACAATTGTGTTGCATTAAAGATGAATGACTGATGGCTTTAGTTCATTTACTCAGCCATGTTAGTTGTTACCTTAGGACACATGTATCAATGCAGAGCTGCAGACAAGCTGCTTATTTGCGGAAAATAACCCCCCCAAACACACACACACTCCAAACAACAAACAATTACTTTCAATTAACTTGCGTACAGAAACGCATGCATTAAATGAAAAACTCAAATGTATAAAAACAGCTTGTGTAAATACCCAATGAAGCTTTTTAAGCATGTATACAATGGAGCTAATTTCTGAAACACAATTACGAGCTAATTTTTTAACTTTCTGCTGATTCAAGCCTAAAGCAGCTGGAAAAGAATTAAATTAAGCATAACAGTATTTATTTTTATTATGTCTCCCGCTAGTAATATAAAATACAATATAAAATGTTGTATAGAAATTCCATGTCTGCATCATTGTCAGTAATTCAAGAAGCCAGCTGCTGTTTTAACTCCACGACAAAATGACTTTCAAATACAGTGGTCCCTCGACTTAACGCTCCTCGATGTACCGCTACTCCGGATGCACCGCAGGGTAAACCATGGCTCCCAATAATGCATGAAGAATTTTCCCTAAAAGCGCGTTAAATGATTGACGTTGCCCCAAAACATTTGTGACATCCTCCTAAGGTTGCTGATGTCCCTTTTTGGAAGAACAAGGGGGCCCTAAGTCCCTTCTAAGTATTGTTTTGCTGGTGTCCAAGTTTAGCTGTTGAGGTTGTCGTGGTTACAGGTATTTCAGAAAAGTACGCCAGGAACCTTCCTCTAACACAGATGTGCTCCGACTGCACAACGCATACGGCACTTGTCAGGAGTCTACTTTCACAACAAAAGGATCAATCAGATTTACTGTCATGTATTATGAGTATTCTGATTAGATCTCATCATGTAGTTTATGCAGCAAGTTCTGAAGTACTGCCGTTATTGAATTTATTGGGGTTTGGCATTCAAGAAGTCTACTCTGCACAAATATGGACAGAAATTGGTTTGGTGAATTGTGAAAATAGACTCGTCCTGACTTCAGCATCGTTGTAATTTCTGTTTTCATTTTGGGGAGGGTACGTTTGTGTATACAGATAGGTGAGACAACGAGCCCAACAGCCCAAGTTTGGAAGCACAAGAGACCCGAGGATTCATGCTCTGAAGCTTGGTGCAGCACTGGTTCAGACAGTAGACATGGCACGGGTGGCCCAGTCTAAGGCGCCGCGATTCGCTGTGCAGAGTTGCGTCCCTTGGGCACACCAGAAACCTATGATTGTGGGTTCGAATCCCAGTTCACCCCGATTATGTTTCTAGGTTTGTCAGCACAATACCTGTGCTCGTGGGTTTCACCGAAGTGGTAAACGTGTGAGACCTGCATTACTTCGGTCTTTCCTCCCACATTAAGCTGACACGCCGTGATATAACTTGAATACTGTTAAAAGCGGCGTTAAACCCAACTCACTCACTCAGACATTAGACTAGTGGGACAGTTACATGTAAGAATGAAGATATGTGAACGCAACGTGGTAGTTCTTTCCGGCAGATTTCCTTGTTAATACCTAGCATGCTGGGAATGATTTGGTAACCATTATATTATATTATATATTCTAGATGATTTTACACCTGTGACGTCACATGGTTAAAGCTAAGCTGGCCATATTGTACTTTGTATACTCTATATTTCATAATCCATCAACACCACCAGTCAACATAAACCATCAATTGATTTCCAACGGGGGTCATTAACAATGTGTTGTGTTTCACAAGGATTATATGGATCTTGGGTAACCTTGAGGCCAGTGCATTTGCTTATCAAGGAGAAGACCAAGGTTCTATTTGCCGCACATGTGAAGGCTGTTGAAATCCGTTGTGACATGGCAGCAATTTGTCCATTAATAGTGTAGAAGTACACACTTGCTGTGAGACGTGTTGTGAGAGAGTGCTGAACACTCACATGTGCTTCCTGTTAGGTGTGAATCCTCTTCCTATATCATCTGTTATACAGTCAGTACACCTCAGCTGATTTATCGAGGAACAAATGTTGTATGTGTTCAAGTGTTTGTGTCTCTTCCTTAAATATACGGTCATTGAAGTCATTGCGTCAGTGTGCCATACCTGTGCTTTAAGCTAGATAGCTTTCATACTTACATAGTGGATGTGCTAGTTGGACATGATCATGCATAATCATTAAGTTCTAGTCTCGGATTTTGTCAGTTAGAAATCATCAGCCTTATGTATGAACAGGGCGTGGAGTCATCCCACAGATGACATCCTTACCTTGTCAGCTTGCTGACGGGGTTAACCTCTTTGGTCATGTGGACAAGGCGTCCGACCTCGGATCAGAAGGTCCGTGGTTCGAATCCCAACACGGGACTCGGAAATTTCATGGCCGCTACATTGGCGCCCAACGTGGGGCTGAGCATGTTCATATTAAATTTGAACATTATAAGCCTCAGTACCCTACTATGCGGCCCGGGACGTGCCTTCTGTTGACGGGGGAGTATGTAGCAGGGCGGGGAGTCATCCCACAGATGACATCCTTACCTTGTCAGCTTGCTGACGGGGTTAACCTCTTTGGTCATGTGGACAAGGCGTCCGACCTCAGATCAGAAGGTCCGTGGTTCGAATCCCATCACGGGACTCGGAAATTTCATGGCCGCTACATATACATAGAACAACATGCAGTGGGATTTCTCTGTTAAATCAGTAGTAAGGGAGAAACATGATACCAGGTACTGCTTATTCTTTCTATGGCTTTGGAATTTCTCTCCCCATAATTCTAAAATGAGTAAAAGTATAATATAAATATAATATAAATCGGGTTTATCATTTTCTTTGTACTGTGATTTTTATAAAGGTTCCAAACATATTTTGTCCAGTACATTGTGTATAAGTGGACAGTTGTTTACCTGTAGTTTTATATGTCAAAATGTATGTAGTTTTAGATGTTGGCCAGTATTTTAAGGTGAAATTAGTTTTATTGAAAATAGGCAACCTACTTACATCATCTCCTGTATAAAAGGCAGATATGATGAAATTATTTGTTACAATTGAGGATGTTTGTATAATGCTTCTTAGTTTAAAAAGTAAAACATAAAATAAAGCTAAATAAACAACATGAAAATATGGAACATTTTTGTCATGATTTCAAGAAAGATATTTTTCAGGTTCGTGGTCAAGCCAAGAGATTGGAGCTCAACTCATGATCCAGTGAATGGTGAATGATCAAACAAGAATCAGCAATAACCTCTGTGCTATCCCATTTCATCAACACATACAGATGGCGTAGTCTCTGCCAAACACATGCTGATGGAGTAGTCTCTGACCAACACATACTGATGGCGTAGTCTCTGCCCAACACATACTGATGGCATAGTCCCTGCCCAACACATACTGATGGCGTAGGCTCTGCCCAACACATACTGATGGTGTAGTCTCTGCCCAACACATACTGATGGCGTTGTCTCTGCCCAACACATACTGATGGCGTAGTCTCTGCCCAACACATGCTGATGGCGTAGTCTCTGCCCAACACATACTGATGGCGTAGTCTCTGCCCAACACATGCTGATGGCGTAGTCTCTGCCCAACACATACTGATGGCGTAGTCTCTGCCCAACACATGCTGATGGTGTAGTCTCTGCCCAACACATACTGATGGCATAGTCCCTGCCCAACACATACTGATGGCGTAGGCTCTGCCCAACACATACTGATGGTGTAGTCTCTGCCCAACACATACTGATGGCGTTGTCTCTGCCCAACACATGCTGATGGCGTAGTCTCTGCCCAACACATACTGATGGCGTAGTCTCTGCCCAACACATGCTGATGGTGTAGTCTCTGCCCAACACATACTGATGGCCTCGTCGCTGCCCAACACATGCTGATGGCGTAGTCTCTGCCCAACACATACTGATGGCGTAGTCTCTGCCCAACACATACTGATGGCATAGTCCCTGCCCAACACATACAGATGGCGTTGTCTCTGCCCAACACATGCTGATGGCATATTCCCTGCCCAACACATACTGATGGCGTAGTCTCTGCCCAACACATACTGATGGCGTAGTCTCTGCCCAACACATACTGATGGCGTTGTCTCTGCCCAACAGATACTGATGGCGTAGTCTTTGCCCAACACATGCTGATGGCATAGTCTCTGCCCAACACATACTGATGGCGTAGTCTTTGCCCAACACATGCTGATGGCTTAGACTTTGCCCAACACATGCTGATGGTGTAGTCTCTGCCCAACACATACTGATTGTGTTGTCTCTACCCAACACATACTGATGGAGTAGGCTCTGCCCAACACATGCTGATGGTGTAGTCTCTGCCCAACACATACTGATGGCGTAGTCTCTGCCCAACACATACTGATGGCATTGTCTCTGCCCAACACATGCTGATGGTGTAGTCTCTGCCCAACACATACTGATGGCGTAGTCTCTGCCCAACACATACTGATGGCCTCGTCGCTGCCCAACACATGCTGATGGCGTAGTCTCTGCCCAACACATACTGATGGCGTAGTCTCTGCCCAACACATACTGATGGCATTGTCTCTGCCCAACACATGCTGATGGTGTAGTCTCTGCCCAACACATACTGATGGCGTAGTCTCTGCCCAACACATACTGATGGCGTAGTCTCTGCCCAACACATACTGATGGCATTGTCTCTGCCCAACACATGCTGATGGTGTAGTCTCTGCCCAACACATACTGATGGCGTAGTCTCTGCCCAACACATACTGATGGCCTCGTCGCTGCCCAACACATGCTGATGGCGTAGTCTCTGCCCAACACATACTGATGGCGTAGTCTCTGCCCAACACATACTGATGGCATTGTCTCTGCCCAACACATGCTGATGGCGTAGTCCCTGCCCAACACATACTGATGGCGTTGTCTCTGCCCAACACATGCTGATGGCATAGTCCCTGCCCAACACATACAGATGGCGTAGTCTCTGCCCAACACATGCTGATGGCATAGTCCCTGCCCAACACATACTGATGGCGTAGTCTCTGCGCAACACATGCTGATGGCATAGTCCCTGCCCAACACATACAGATGGCGTTGTCTCTGCCCAACACATGCTGATGGCATAGTCCCTGCCCAACACATACTGATGGCGTAGTCTCTGCCCAACACATGCTGATGGCATAGTCTCTGCCCAACACATACTGATGGCGTTGTCTCTGCCCAACAGATACTGATGGCGTAGTCTTTGCCCAACACATGCTGATGGCATAGTCTCTGCCCAACACATACTGATGGCATAGTCCCTGCCCAACACATACTGATGGAGTAGTCTCTGCCCAACACATGCTGATGGCTTAGACTTTGCCCAACACATGCTGATGGTGTAGTCTCTGCCCAACACATACTGATTGTGTTGTCTCTACCCAACACATACTGATGGCGTAGTCTCTGCCCAACACATACTGATGGCGTAGTCCCTGCCCAACACATGCTGATGGCGTAGTCTCTGCCCAACACATACTGATGGCGTAGTCTCTGCCCAACACACACTGATGGCGTAGTCTCTGCCCAACACACACTGATGGCGTAGTCTCTGCCCAACACATGCTGATGGCGTAGTCTCTGCCCAACACATGCTGATGGAGTAGTCTCTGCCCAACACATACTGATGGCGTAGTCTCTGCCCAACACATACTGATGGCCTCGTCGCTGCCCAACACATACTGATGCGGTGTCTCTGCCCAACACATACTGATGGCGTAGTCTCTGCCCAACACATACTGATGGCGTTGTCGCTGCCCAACACATACTGATGGCGTTGTCTCTGCCCAACACATGCTGATGGCGTTGTCGCTGCCCAACACATACTGATGGCGTTGTCTCTGCCCAACACATGCTGATGGCATAGTCTCTGCCCAACACATACTGATGGCGTAGTCTCTGCCCAACACATACTGATGGCGTAGTCTCTGCCCAACACACACTGATGGCGTAGTCTCTGCCCAACACATGCTGATGGCGTTGTCTCTGCCCAACACATGCTGATGGAGTAGTCTCTGCCCAACACATACTGATGGCGTAGTCTCTGCCCAACACATACTGATGGTGTAGTCTCTGCCCAACACATGCTGATGGTGTAGTCTCTGCCCAACACATACTGATGGCGTTGTCTCTGCCCAACACATGCTGATGGAGTAGTCTCTGCCCAACACATGCTGATGGCGTTGTCGCTGCCCAACACATACTGATGGCGTTGTCTCTGCCCAACACATGCTGATGGAGTAGTCTCTGCCCAACACATACTGATGGCGTTGTCTCTGCCCAACACAT